AAACAACAGAAATCCTTTTATCAATTTATTTGAGTATAAGGCCCATTGAATTCACAAGGATTTATAGAGTATATGGAATGTTCATCTGTTCCTTCACACTGGGCATTAAAAAGTTAAATTACTACTGGTCATGGTACTCTGAACCCTAGCAGGGCTGATACAGAGACACAAACATTTTACAATTAAACTATTGATTGTTATAGTGCAGAAGATGTCCGTTTTGACATTATAGTTGTTTCATGAACTAGTAGAGCTGCAATATGAATCAGAGTGTGCATTTACCACAACCATCTTTGATACTTGCAGGGCAGTAGAACAACATCTGCCACTCACTCAATTTCCTGAAATCTTTTGCAATTATGATATAGCATATTTCCCTTTATTTGAGTCCCACCCATGGGAGAAAAGCGGGATAAAAATGAATAAATAATAATAACAACAATACTATTTCGACTCCGCTTTAGACTCTCCTCCCCAGTAATCCAGACTCAATTCAGGTGGCAAAGCTACTTCTCTGTCCCCCACTCCTTTCCTCCTTTGAAAATGGGCTTCCCCACCACTGCAAATTGCAAAATGAGACCCTTGCAAGGGATTAGAGGAGGCCTAGAACCCCACAAAATGAAGGTGGAGATAACATTCCCTGCTCAGACCCACCTCACTGCTCATTCGGGCAGCAAAAGAAATCAGCAAGAGTGGCCCTTCTCTCAGGCCCAAGAAGGTTTGATGGAAACAGGAGAAAGGGCCTTCTCAGTGGCTGCCAAAGAGTATGCACCTCCCTTCCCATAACTGTATATTCATTAAGTCACTTTGAACAACAATTTTGAGAGTAAGGTGGAATAGTTATGTTCATATTTGTAAGAAGAATTTCAACTCCTGCTTGAAAAAAGCCACGCTGCTTCTCAAAGTCCTTGCTTTCTAAAATGAAACCCATCAACTGTTTTGAAGCAGTGAGCAATTAGCCATTTGTTCGTAGATGGTCGCTGGTTCTATAGAAGTTTCAGAACTGGAGATCCCTGATGATCCTGAAACTAGGTAGTATGACAGCAACTCCTATGCCAATCTCCTCACCTGGAAAATAATCCTGGCACCCAAACCAAAATCCCACATTCAAGAGCATACAGGAAGCACTAACTTGAATGAACTCTAGTCTGAAAAGGTGCTGTTTTTGTTGTTGTGTAATGAAAGGCATTGACCAAGGCATTGACATTTCCATCTCATCCTCTGTTTGGATATCAGCCAGCATGCCAACGTATTGGATCAAGAAATGGCTTCCTATGATATACAGAGATACTCGCAGGAACACCTCAGCAAGTGAGAGTCCAAAAGTGGCAGGCTATAACCCAGAACTGCAATCAGTGGCTGAGACCAGATGAGAGACTCCCTCCTGGGCACACAGACAACTGAGAGACTTGGAAGGCGCTGAACAGACTGCGTTCTGGCACCACAAGATGCAGAGCAAAGCTTCAGAAATGGGGCTACAAAGTGGAGTCCACGACATGCGAGTGTGGAGAAAAGCAAACCACAGACCACCTATTACAATGCAACCTGAGCCCATGCACAATGGAAGACCTTCTTATAGCAACACCAGAGGCACTCCAAGTGGCCAGCTTCTGGTCAAAGAACATTTAGTATAATAGCAAATCTTTAAGTATAATGTCTAGTATTATACTTATTATTCTTATTGCCCAATTTAGAATAAAACTAAAGAGATCAGGGAAAATACACAGACCAGTTAGATATGATCTCACTAACATTCCTAGCGAATATACAGTGGAAGTGAAGAACAGATTTGAAGGACTAGATTTAGTAAACAGAGTCCCAGAAGAATTATGGACAGAAGTCCGAGACATTGTTCAGGAGGCGGCAACAAAGTACGTCCCAAAGAAAAAGAAAACCAAGAAGGCAAAATGGTTGTCTGCTGAGACACTGGAAGTAGCCCAAGAAAGGAGGAAAGCAAAAGGAAACAGGGATAAGGGGAGATATGCCCAGTTAAATGCGCAATTCCAGAGGTTAGCCAGAAGAGATAAGGAACTATTTTTAAACAAGCAATGCATGGAAGTTGAAGAAGACAACAGAATAGGAAGGACAAGAGACCTCTTCCAGAAAATTAGAAACATTGGAGGTAAATTTCAGGCAAAAATTGGTATGATAAGAAACAAAGATGGCAGGGACCTAACAGAAGCTGAAGAGATCAAGAGAAGGTGGCGAGACTATACAGAAGATCTGTATAGGAAGGATAATAATATTGAGGATAGTTTTGACGGTGTGGTGAATGAATTAGAACCAGACATCCTGAGGAGTGAGGTTGAATGGGCCTTAAGAAGCATTGCTAACAACAAGGCAGCAGGAGATGACGGGATCCCAGCTAAACTGTTTAAAATCTTAAAAGATGATGCTGTCAAGGTGATGCATGCCATTTGCCAGCAAATATGGAAAACAAAAGAATGGCCATCAGACTGGAAAAAATCAACTTATATCCCCATACCAAAAAAGGGAAATGCGAAAGACTGCTCAAACTTCCGTACAGTGGCCCTTATTTCTCATGCCAGTAAGGTAATGCTCAAGATCCTGCAAGGAAGACTCCAGCAATACATGGAGCGAGAGTTGCCAGATGTTCAAGCTGGGTTTAGAAAAGGTAGAGGAACGAGAGACCAAATTGCCAATATCCGCTGGGTAATGGAGAAAGGCAGGGAGTTTCAGAAAAACATCTACTTCTGCTTCATTGACTATTCTAAAGCCTTTGACTGTGTGGATCATAATAAATTGTGGCAAGTTCTTAGTGGGATGGGCATCCCAAGCCACCTTGTCTCTCTCCTGAGGAATCTGTACACGGACCAAGTAGCAACAGTCAGAACTGACCACGGAACAACAGACTGGTTCAAGATTGGGAAAGGCGTACGGCAAGGCTGCATCCTCTCACCCAACCTTTTTAACTTGTATGCAGAACACATCATGCGATGTGCGGGGCTGGATGAATGCAAAGCTGGGGTGAAAATTGCTGGAAGAAACATTAACAACCTCAGATATGCAGATGACACCACTCTGATGGCCGAAAGCGAGGAGGAGCTGAGGAGCCTTCTAATCAAGGTGAAAGAAAAAAGCGCAAAAGCCGGGTTGCAGCTAAATGTCAAAAAAACCAAGATTATGGCAACAAGAATGATTGACAACTGGAAAATAGAGGGAGAAACCGTGGAGGCCGTGACAGACTTTGTATTTCTAGGTGCAAAGATTACTGCAGATGCAGACTGTAGCCAGGAAATCAGAAGACGCTTACTTCTTGGGAGGAGAGCAATGTCCAATCTCGATAAAATAGTAAAGAGTAGAGACATCAGAATGGCAACAAAGATCCGCCTAGTCAAAGCCATGGTCTTCCCTGTAGTAACCTACGGATGTGAGAGCTGGACCTTAGGGAAGGCTGAGCGAAGGAAGATCGATGCTTTTGAGCTGTGGTGTTGGAGGAAAGTGCTGAGAGTGCCTTGGACTGCGAGAAGATCCAACCAGGCCATCCTCCAGGAAATAAAGCCCGACTGCTCACTGGAGGGAAAGATACTAGAGACAAAGTTGAAGTACTTTGGCCACATCATGAGGAGACAGGAAAACCTAGAGAAGACAATTATGCTGGGGAAAGTGGAAGGCAAAAGGTAGTGGGGCCGACCAAGGGCAAGATGGATGGATGGCATCCTTGAAGTGACTGGACTGACCTTGAGGGAGCTGGGGGTGGTAACGGCCGACAGGGAGCTCTGGCGTGGGCTGGTCCATGAGGTCACGAAGAGTCGGAGACGACTGAACGAATGAACAACAAATGTCTAGTATGGAATACATCTCACCAAAAAAGTGGCTGTAGTTCTTAATGAGACATGCCACATTATCACAGGATGTCTATGCCCTACACCACTGGATAAATTACAGAGTTTAGCCAGCATCGCACCACCTGACATCTTCAGCCCATCCTCTGTTCGGATATCAGCCAGCACACCAATGCCTTAATCAAGAAACAGCTTCCTAAAATCTACAGAGATACTCGCAGGAACACTTTTGGACTCTCAGCAAGCAAGAGTCCAAAAGTGGCAGGCTAAAACTGGGAACCCCAATCAGTGGCTGAGACTGCTCAACTTGCTTCTGACATTGTGTGCCTTGAAGCCATCACTGATCCTGGGATTTTCTTCATGGACTAAGGCCCAGGTATGTAGCCGGGGGGGGGGGGGGGGGGCGGGGGTTCAGCCCCCCCCTCCCGAAATTCTCATGGTGGTTTGCGAAAAGGCCTTACTGGTGCATTATTTAAACTGTTATGTTTATTCATATCATGATCTGATCACCATACTCAATATATCCCATATGCATAGGGGTATTGGGGTAATGATACAAAAGGTTTGCTAGGCTAGACCCTCTTTCACTCAGACTCAGCCCCCCCCCAAAACTCAGCCCCCCCGAAACCCCCCTGAAAAAAATTTCCCCCCCCGAAACGAAATCCTGGCTACGGGCCTGCTAAGGCCCCTTTTCCACATCCACACAGCTGAATAAAACCCCACATTATCTGCTTTGAAATGGAATATATGGCAGTGAGGTCTTAGATCACCCAGTTCAAAGCAGAGCTTGTGGGGTTTTCTGCGTTGATATTCTGGGTTATTATATGGCTGTGTGAAAGGGCCCAAATCCATATATTCCAGTTGAAAGCAGAAAATGTGGGCAGTGGGAACTCAACTCAGATCACCCAGCTCAAAGCAGGCCTTGTGAGATTTTCGGCCTTGATATTCTGAGTTCTGTGAGTTCTACTATAAGGCCCTGAGTGGGGATTCGAACCCGTGTCTAGTCGTGTCTCCCAGCGCTGAAGTCTCGGGCAACGCCCTCCCAGAGTACAGCGCATCGGGGTTTGCGCCCAGCGCGGCTGCCTCTTCCTTCCTCTTGTGTCCGCCCACCAGCCAGTTCCGCCCAATCAGCGGCCGCTTTCGGGGCCTGCCCTTCCTCTCTCTTGTGCCCGCCCACCCGCCGGCTCCACCCAATCAGCGGCGGCGTCAGAGCGCCCGGCCGGGCCCGGCAGCGCCCGACGCCACCCTTTTGGCCACAGCTTTGGCCGGCCGCTTCTGAGGGGGTGGGGAGGGGGAAGGAAGCGAGGTGGCGGCAGGCGGGCGCCGCCGCCGAAGAAGAAGGAGGAGGAGGAGGAGGCGGCGGCAACAACACCCCCATTCCTGGATGAGCGAAGGAAAATGAACATTATGGACTTCAATGTGAAGAAGCTGGCGGCCGACGCCGGCACCTTCCTCAGCCGCGCTGTGCAGGTAGGCCTGACAGCTCTCCTCCACAGCCTGCCTGCCTGCCTGCCTGCCTCCTGAGGGGCGTTGGCCGGGCCGTTGCTGGGCGCGCGGCCCTTGTTTGGCTCGTGCGTGCGCGCGCGCCCTTTGGCAGACAAACACGGCGCGCGCGAAGGAGGGGGCGGCCATTTCTTGAGGGAGGGTCTCGAGGCAGGCGCCTCACCAGGCACGGATGTGGCCCTTCCCCCCCCCCCCCTCGGAGTTCTTCGGGCACTTTATGAGGCTCAGCTGTCCTCTCTTGCCCCCCCCCCCCCCCCGCCCTGGGCCTTTTAAGAGGCGGCCAGCCGTCTGCCCTGGCGGCGGAGAGTTGGACTGACCTGGTCGCAGCTGTTCTCCAGGCCTCCCGTGTCCCTAAGGGCTTAGGCCAGACTTGGCTTGCCGCCCCTCCTTCATACTTGCCTTATCTGTATAGGCACACACCATTTTGTAAAGAGTCCTAAGTTTAGCATTTTCTTCGCTGGCTAAATATGCAGATTTTCCTTTTACGTGATCATAGAATTATAGAATTGGAAGAGACCCCAAGGGTCATCCAGTCCAACCCCTTGCTGTGCAGAAACACAATCAGAATACTCCCAACAGATGGTCATTCAGCCTCTGCTTAAACAGCTCCAGAGAAGGAGACTCCACCATGCTTCTAGGCAGCAAATAATAATAATAATAATAATAATAATAATAATAATAATAATTCAGACTGAGTTTTGGAGCACAATACTCCTGACCTCACAATCGTGTTAAAAAACAAAGTATGGATGGTCGATGTTGCAATCCCAGACAACAGCAGGATTGAAGAGAAACAACTGGAAAAGCTGACACGATATGAGGATTTAAAGATTGAAATGCAAAGACTCTGGCACAAGCCAGTCAAGGTGGTCCCAGTTGTGATCAGCACACTGGATGCAGTGCCTAAAGACCTTGGTCTGCACTTAAACACAATTGGTGCTGACAAGATTATCATCTGCCAGCTGCAGAAGGCCACTTTACTGGGATCTTCACGCATTATTCTCTGATACATCACACAGTCCTAGACACTTGGGAAGTGTCCAACATGTGATCCAATACAACAGCCAGCAGAGTGCCTGCTGTGGACTCAACTTGTTGTGTTTCAAATAATAATAATAATAATAATAATAATAATAATAAGGGCCTGAGTGGGGATTCGAACCCGTGTTGTGTCTCTGAGTCCAATACCCAAACCACTACACCACGTAAGGGTAATAAGATTAAAGACCTTGGTCTGCACTTAAACACAATTGGTGCTGACAAAATTACCACCTGTCAGCTGCAAAAGGCCACCCTACTGGGATCTGCATGCATTATTTGCTGATACATCATACAGTCCTAGACACTTGGGAAGTGTCTGACGTGTGATCCAATACAACAGCCAGCAGAGTGACTTTGTTTGCTGTGTATTAATCTTTTTGTATTTCAAATAATAATAATAAAAATAACAGCTTCATTTTTATACTCTCTGCCCCAGAGTGTGGTGGAGGCTCCTTCTTTGGAAGCTTTTAAACAGAGGCTGGATGGCCATCTGTCAGGGGTGATTTGAATGCAACATTCCTGCTTCTTGGCAGAATGGGGTTGGACTGGACTGTTTCTTTCCATTAGTCCGTGTCCTAGGCAACAGAAACATGCTTGCCCCCTCCCCAGGCCCCTTTCACACAGCTGAATAAAATACACATTGTCTGCTTTGAACTTGGATATATGGCAGCGTGGACTCAGATAGACCAGGGCCCTTCCACACAGCCCTATATCCCAGAATATCAAGGCAGGAACTCCCATAATATCTGCTTTGAATTGGTTTATCTGAGTCCACGCTGCCATACGTCCCAGTTCAAAGAAGATATTTTGGAATTTTCTGCTTTGATATTCTGGGTTATATGGCTGTGTGGAAGGGCCCTCAGTATGACCTCCTTTTACATATTTAAACCTGGCTCTCATGTCCCCTCACAGCCTTCTTTTCTCCAAGCTAAACATACACAGCTCTCTCCTGGCTTCCAGACCTTTGACCATTTTGGTCGCTCTTCTCTGGACACATTCCAGCTTGTCAATAGCCTTCATGAATTGTGGTGCCCAGAACTAGATACTTGTCATTCCAGGTGAGATCTAAGCTGAGCAGAATATAGTGGGTCTAAGACTTCTTTCAATCCCATGTGCCTTCAAGCCATTTCAGACCTATCACTGGGGTTTTCTTGGAAAGACTTATAAAATTATTTACAGACAGTACACATACCGCACATATCACATACAATACAATGTATAAGACAACCCTCTTGCTCACATCCTACACAAAGTTGGCCCCAATTCCACTCACCTGTGCACCCACCACCTTGACTTCCATTCCTAGTCACTGGGGGCCTTTCCACACAGCCCTATATCCCAGAATATCAAGGCGGAAAATCTCACAATATCTGCTTTGAACTGTGTTATCTGAGTCCACACTCAGATAATGTGGGATTTTCTGCCTTGATATTCGGATATAGGGCTGTGTGGAAGGGTCTTCAGATATGCCATGATCTGTTTCCATCTCTTTAAGAATTCTTCATTGCTTTTACCCGCCAAATGATTGGATAAGTTGGCCATTTGCCAAGTTATCCATTAGTTTATCTCCAATCTTTTTTAGTTAGTGTTTTTCCCCCTTTCCAATTTCAGGCTTATTCAGAAGAGGTTTGCCATTGCCTTCCTTTGAGGTTGTGAAAGTGTGGCTGGACAGTGGGTTTCACAAATGAGTAGAGAACTCTGGCGTCTAGAGTCAGTCCAAAACATAAAAGCATTTTAAAAACATAGATTTAAAACACAGAAAACATAAAACACTGGTTGAAATTTATATCTATAAAATGTCAATTTCAAGTTCATAGTTTAAAATTGAATATAAAATTGATGTCAGATTCTGTTGTGATCAAAATCCAAGGCACAACAGATGTGAGAATTGTGTTTTAGTGTCCAGGGTTGGTTGCCCCTGAACTTATATTTTGCAGGAGTGAAAGTAAAAGGAAACCAAGATACTAAGGGAGTGTAGGGAGCCAGGCAGCTAGAAAGAGCTGCAGCTTGTTGTCCTCTGCACCCTTTTGTGATCATTGAAAAAAATGATTTTATACCCAGCTGTATCAAATCCACATTGTATATATGTGGCAGTGTATTAATACTACTACTACTACTAACAACAACAACAACTTTATTTTTATACCTCGCCTCCATCTCCCCGAAGGGGCTCAGGGTGGCTTACAAAGGGACAAGTCTGGAAAAAAACCCCACGCAAATTAAAACACAGTGCAGTCAAGTAAAATAAACAAAACAAAATCAAAATATTTAAAAAAAAACATATCACAACATCATAAAAGCAATCCATGGGCTGAAAAGTAAAAAAAAAATACTAATATCAGAGTGCTAAGAGTTTGTGCAATAGTTTCTGGCTAGAACTAAGGGAAAGTGGAAAATCCGATAGGGCTGGAAGGGTAATGTCATTTGGCATAAAAATGCCAGGATTATAGGGCTGAGGGTAGTACTAAAGTGCAGGAGCTGTTAGTAAGTTACAGTTAGGGGCCAGTTATCTGGTGAACTGTTTAGTCATAAGCACAACATGATTTTATACACAGCTCTTTAAAATCCACATTGAACTGAATTATATGGCAGTGCGGACTCGGATAATCCAGTTCAAAGCATATATTGTGGATTATCTGCCTTGATAGTCTGGGTTATATGGCTGTGGGGAAGGGCTCTAAGACTTGACTCTCAGGGCTGAAATGGCCAGGTAATTTAATTTGTGAGTAAGAGAGGCAGTTTCTGTTCTGAACTTTTTGTTTGTCTGCTTCTGAATGATCTTGACAGTCTTACATCACTTTTTGTATATTATTTGATAGCAAAGCCTTGGTTTTCCCCTCCCCTCTGTGTTAAGGAACTAAGAGACCCTAATTATGGAGGTGGAAGAACAGGTAGGATCGAGCCCCTTTACTTGACCTCCAAGTAGAGTGAAGGGTGATGCAGTCCTGTTCTCATGTTCTTGTCATATCCAAGGACACCATTGGATGAACTGGCACTTTCCTAAGTGTCTTGCATTATACTTCCTGTGTTATGTAATCATTATTGCAGAACATCAGTGTGGCCAGCATTTCTTTACATTTGTCAGTTAATGCCAGGGTAGCATTTTTGAAAGAGCCCGTGAGGCTTAGTGGTTTGAACATTGGACTGAGGCAGTGGGAGACCAAGACTTTAATACCCACTTGGCTACTGGGTGCTCTTGAGTAGGTCACACACTCTCAGCCTCAGAGGGGAGCAAAGACAACCCCCACCCGTACAAATCTTGCCTCTGAAGACCAGAAAAAGTTTGCCTTAAGATGAATCAGACATGACTTGAAGGCACTTAATAGCAACAAATATTTGACAGGGTTTAAGTTAGTTACATAGTAGCTAATATTTCCAGAAAGTAGAAGTACACATAATTCTTCTCTCCTTGTCAAATCTTTCCTCATCTCTTCCTACTTGCCCTACTCATGGAAGATCTTACTGTCAGCCTAGGAAATTTTCATATTTAGTGGAAATAAGTGTCAAAATCAGGGATAGATAGAAGATAGGTTAGGATCTAATAGTAAATCAGGGTGACTGGCAGTAAATTTATAAGGGATTCTGTTTCCTCTTGTCCAACAATAGAGGCAGCTAAAAAGCTCACTCACCACATCCAAGTTGGATTGCTGCAAATCAAGAAATGGATTCATGTATGATAGGACATGAGTTTAATTCTGAATACCTATGGAGTGTTGAATAAACATGTGAAATATAATGTCCCAATATTTTAACAATCAGCCAACCTTATATATTCCAATTTTTTATTGAGCGACGGGTCCCGGGAGCCCCCCTAGCATGACCAAAGTATAGTGTTTTTGTAAGTTCAGCATCACATAGCTTCCATAAAATCTGTCTATTATGGGTTTCTAGGGACAGGTAGGATGGATCCCCTTAGCATTCCTTTCCTGTACAGTATATCAAAGAGCCTAGAAATTTAATAGTACGTGCCACATTGAATAGCATTTTTTAAAACCTGGAATATTTCAAGCACAACTTGGAATGTGATAGTGAGCCATCTTTTCCAAGGAGGGGGTGCCCAATATTCTAGCGAACCAGCACTAGCCAGGTGGCTCAAATCGAAAGAGTACAAATTCTGTAAATACTATTTTATTGTTCTAGAAAATAATGCTGGAAAACATGCAAAATATTAGTGTCAACAACATTGTTTTATTGAAAAATCAGTATTTAATGCACAGTTGTTTAATTGATTACAGTATTCATGCCCTTCCTCTTTTTTGTGGGCTGTGTTTCTATATCTGAAGTTTGTTTTCCTTCATTGGAACTAAAGGGAGGACAAGACAGGCTATCATATAATTATGAGATCCTATGATGCATGTCTTGTGATGCTGACTGATTTGCTTTTATAAGAAAAAGCTGAACATACATTTTCTGTTTTGGCTTAGGTTCAAATATATTTCTTTTGTTGGGGTTAATATGTTTCTCTATGGACCCATCCACGCTGACTATTTAATGCAGTTTGAAACTAGCTTCGAACTGCTATGTCTAAACAACAAACTTCCATGAAAGCATGTGAAAGAAAGTCCTTAATGCACACCAGTGCTCTGTGGCGTGTGAAATCACCATCAGGGCTTCAAGATAGTTCTAGGATTTCCTGTGTAATCATCTGCACATTGAAACCACTTCCTTCAATGCTGGGATGAAACTGCATTCAATTGTCAGTGTAGATGTGCCCTGGGATTCAGATAAGTTAGGTCCATAGGCAGATCAGAGAAATAGGTCATCATATTAATGACTGCTCTATTCATAAATCTAGGCACTTTCCTGCTGACCATTGAACAACAACTTGTATATTCCTCTGTGAGTATCTAGATGGCCAGTGATATTACAAGGACTCCTATACAGCCTTTCAACAGTCCATTCAGGATTCATTTCTGTTCACTATGTTAACTATTAAATGCAATTACTTTTCAAGAGTCCAGGCCATCTGGGATGGCCACAGGTGCCCACACCTGCTTTAAATTTTAAAACTAACACATTAATTTAAGCCCAGGACATATATCTTTCATTCTTGGCTAAACATGACTAAGAAAGTGTTAAACATCCAATTCCAGACAGTGCAGCCCCATTTCAATTCCACTAGAATATGGAGCCAAGACAACTTCAGTCATATTGAGAGAAGGCAAGCATCAGGTACCAGCAGAGCTCTACTGGTTCTCTTGGCAGCTTTCTGTACTTCCTACCATGGTATCCTTCTGGAATGCCGAGCACTATCTAACAACAGTTCCCATGCTAATGGATTAGCAAATATACTTTAGTGTCCTGTTTAATGAATCTATCAAAAAAGCCGAATCTATTTTGTAGATCGATAATTGCATATTTACATTTCATACTAAACTGTAAAGCAGGTTCACTATTTCACTGACATGGAAGTCATCAGTCCCTATTGACTGGAAGTACAAAATTGCAATGTTTCATCATTCCACCTAACCATGATGGGGAGACCCTGTTCAGCTTTACAGTTTTGACCAATGTATAGACCAACAACTTTAATGTTGTCCCCTGTGTTACAAACCCAGGAACATACCATTGCTATGGAAACCTTTTGGAGTTATGAAATAAAAGTCATCAGTTTTCTGAGAATACTTCCATTGTTCCTTGGCCACTAACTCAAAGGAACAGACAATAACCCTTGATCATTGTATGTGCCTGGGATTGATAATGGGTGAATGAGGTCTGAAATGAAATCCTTATAAAATAAAAGTTTATCAATACAAATAAGTCTGGCATGAAGATTACGGTTTAATATGTTCCAGAAACAAAAGTGAAAGTGAAACATCAGCCTTGTCATCTGAGAGTATCCCTGACCCTATGTTGTCTTAGATTTCCAGTTGGCAAATTTGTATAATTATATTCAGTTTGCCAGCTAGTCTATCTTATTTGCAACAAATATTCAATGTTAAAATTTCATCATGTTCTGATCACTCAATTAGACTCTTATGTAGTTCTCCTTTATGAGAGCCCAGACTGGAACAACTGAAGGATGTTAACTGGCACATGGCTTCATAGAACCCGGATATTAATGTATTTGAAGCTGTCTTGTAATTAGTTAATACTATTGAGTAAAGCATAAATCACTTTGAAAAGATCTTGTTACGTCTCTTCCAAGCAAGATAGCATGAATGCTTCTTGATCCTCCTTAAACAGAATCCCCTGCTCTCTGCTGCCTCAAAAACTACAGACTTGGGAAAAAATCCAATAGAATAGGAGAAATGGTAGCCAAAATTAAATCAATCAGCTCTGGTACAAAGTAAGAGGCAGTCAAATTAAGGGTCATTAATGTATTCATGTTTATACCTGTCTTGAGACATTGAATGTTTGTCTCTGTGTTTTTTGTTTGTTGGAATCCGCCCTGAGTGCCTGGGGAAATAGGGCGGAATGCAAATAAAGTCTTATATTATTACCCAAGCAACTTATCTGTAAAGAATGAACCGGGTCCTTTATACTGAGCCACTGTCTGTTTTGGTGTTCTCCTTCTGCCTCACTGTCTGTCTTGTTTTCCTTCCGCACCTTATGCAGGTGGAAATGCTATTAGTATATACAGTAGGTACAGTAGTGACAAATAACTTTTGCTGCCCTTCCTACCAGATTGTAGCTCTTCACTTGAACTCTGATGCATGATTGATCCAAATCATTGTATATTTTCTCTGTCAGCATTCTTGCCTTTGTTGTTCCTGTTTTGTGTCCCACAGCTGCCCTTTAAACTGATGAGTTGGCTTGGATTTACCAACAGAAGAGTAGAGACTTAGCAATAGTTTGTGACATGCTGTTTTTTAAGGGCTTCTTTATGAGTGGCCTCACACCTGCTTCCTTCAAGGCAGCTGGGTCTGCTGTCTTGCTAGAAGGAGACATTCATCAACTACAGATACCTCACTACATGTTGTGTTTAAGTGTGGAATGTATTTGCCAGTCTCAAAGGATTTTCATCAGAGCTGCATAAATCTAGGCTAGTCCTAAGAGTTATTTATGATACCTTTGCTACTCTTTTTTGTCCTTTGCTTGCAAGGAGAATCTTTATTCTCACTTAACACACAACTTTGGAAACAATGGAAGAAAATGGGACTTCCTGCTGACCTGGCAATTGCTAAAATCAAATATATACATCATTGATAACTTCATATGGATACTTTAAAAAATAGAAATGGCAGTTGCAGTTTATTGTTCCTTGCTTGTCAAATGCAGTAGTTATTTGCTCCTAATATAGCCTTTGTACAAGGATGGGCTTAGTTGTGAGACCAGATTTCTCAATTTCTTTATTGCAAAATGTAACAATTGTATTGCAGAAAACAGTATCCTTTCGTTTCTAAAGTATTGCATATTTCTGTTTGAAGTAGTAACTACATAGAGAATGAATGTGTAGTGAAATGTGGATAAATTCCTTTTTCTTAGGTTATAATTGCTAGTATTGATAATGGCAGAACTTTGAGGTCTGTAACTTGAAAAGTGTTTTGCTTTTTGTTTTGTCAATACAGTTTACAGAAGAGAAACTTGGTCAAGCAGAGAAAACTGAATTGGATGCACACTTAGAAAATCTTCTGTCTAAAGCAGAATGTACTAAACTATGGACAGAAAAGGTTATGAAACAGACAGAAGTTTTACTGCAACCTAATCCAAGTAAGAGGAATTTTTTTCTTTTTCTGTTTACAAGTTGTCGTTTAGTACTTACTACTTGCACCACATATAATGATCTGTCAGCTCCATCCTAAAACTATTATAGACAATTATGTGAATTCGATGTTGTTGTGTGCAAGTAGTTTCTGACTTATGGCAACCCGGAGGCAATTACCTGCTCTAAATCCTGTTAGTCCTGGCTAATGTAGATCCATTGAATCAGCTGGATTCATTTACACATTGACTCATTCTAACTTTAGTTAGAAGTAATAAACAGGATGCAAGCCACTGACTGTAGCATTCTCAATGATCTTGTCATCTTTCTTTTGCACTTTAATACCACCCCTTGGCATTTCATTTAAAAATATGTTCAATAACCTATTGCGAGTAGTAAATTTTGGATGAAAACAACAAATAAGGTTTCAGACATAGATTCTTGTTCCAGGGTTAATATCATAAATACTAGCATTGTTCGTGTATTACAATTATACCTAAGCATAGACCACAGCATTTTTAAAACATTGCCTTAGCTAATTGAATTACTCATTATTCTTTTGGATGGAGGTTGTGTGATAACAGTTAAAAGCGATATCCTTCCACAGTGGTTTGAAATCACACCTGTTCTGTACCATATATGTGTATATATATTTCAAAACATTCTCTGACCTATGCTGTATGGAGATGAGGAATTCTTGAAAATAATTATTGCACTAGTAGCTTATTTTTGAAATGGGAATGGTGCAGAATGTATTGTATCATATGTGTTTTAGCCCGTATTGCAGAACTGCTGCTTAAACTTGCTGAGTTTTTATGTTAAAAAGAAACCTCATGCTTCTGAACCTAGATAGGCCACTTGTTTCATATGTTGAAATGAGGTTCATAGAATCACCCTTGAATATTTGTATACTTATATACATTTCCACACTGAAATAATAGTTTAAAAATGAAAAATAAACCCTTTGCAATATATGTATCTATCTGCAAAACTTCTTAACAGTCTTGAGGGCCCCTAATTGGCGTAATATTCGTTCCTGATTCAATATCTTAAGAAAGGATTTTTATGCCACACTAATGGTGCTGAAGTATTTAAAAGCAAACACTAGTACTGCTTATTTCACCATGGCATCATCTTTCTGTGGTGGTGGGATTGTGTGTTCCTGTAAAGCATGAAGCTATGTTGTTGGCGGTAGTGCTAATAGAGTCTCCAATGCAATACAGGCTTTTTTGAAGAGTCAGAATAAATATATGTCTCACATGGCAGGTGAAGGGTTGGGGGTGACACTGACAGAGCATCTCTGAAAAAACGACAGTGGCACAATAGCTAACACTTGTTAATACTGTTCAGGAGGGGGTCAACCCCCTTTGAATGCGTCTACAAACATGTTGAGACAATAAAAAATGAACTAAGAGATAGATGAAAAGAAGATTTTCAGGTCAGGAGGTACTAAACAGTAGAGGGAAGAGCAGAGGATGAGTATGATTAGCACTGTGACAAGTGATGCAGCCAGGCTCAAGTCAAAATAATATTTAGCTCTTGGGATGATCAGAGAGGAAAAGAAAGTCCAAATCTGCACAATGACATTATGCAAACATGCAAAGTGAAAAGCATGAATCAGGGGAAACTGGACATTGTAAAACAAGACTAGGACTTCGAAGAGCAGCTATGAAAGAGCTAGACAGGATGCTGAAGTGTAAAGAATACTGAAAAAGGGATTGTCCAGGCTATTGCATTTCCAATTTCCATGTGTGTTTATGAAATTTGGACAGTGAAGAAAGTGGAAATGCGGTGTTCAAAAAGAGTTCTATAGATATCATAAACTATTAAAAAGACAAGTAAATGGGTATTAGAACCATTCAAGACAGAGTTTTTCCTTGGAACTAAGATGCCATGTTTCAGCCATATTACGAGAAAACGTGGGTCACTAGAAAATACAATAATGCTTTTTAAGGTATACATTAATAGGAAAAGAAGAAATTCTCATTACAGTTGGGTGGATTTCATCAAGGAAACCACAGCCCTGAATCTGAGGTCTTGTATTCATATGGTTGCAAAAAGTCAACTTGGTGGCAATAAACAACAACAAAGTACTGTTTATATCTGCTCCTTTTTCACATGCAGTTGCACTTCTGCACATTCTTAAGTTTCATATGTCTATTATTTTCAGTGAGATAACAGATACCAAGAAGAGGCCCTAAGTAAATCTGCATGGATAAGTGAAACTGTATATTGGCTCCACAGATAAAGGGGTTTTATTGTATTTTGGTACTTGAAAGTTTGTTTGGTATTGGAAAGTGTTTCAGACATTGCTTTTCTAAAGTAAGGTAATACACCTTGATGTGGTTAATTACATTGGATAAAACAATAGTTTGCTCCTACAAAATTAAAAATGTACTGGCTAGAAAAAGAAAGTTTTCTAGCATAAATATTTCTCTTTTCAAACCAGACAAAATGGAGTATTATTTAATACTATTAGGTTTTATCTGTACTACACTTCTCAAAGCAACCTATTGAATGTAGAATTTGATAGTAACTGCAGATGTATCTGTAATATAGTAATGTATAGTAATACAGTTCAGTTTAGATGTGGAATATACTAAATGAAATATTTTATCTAAAAAATTATGTTTGAGTAATAGTGTGAAATTCTTCATCAGTGAGTTAGCTTTTCTAATTTCCAGAAGAGGCAGAGATTCCTGTGGCAGTTGAGTGTGCTACCTTAACATTAGTCTTCACATTGGTCAGATTTAGTATTGATGAATGTTGAATATGTAAAGCCGTGACTGAGTTTTATCTCTGACTATTTCTTCAACTTTTTCTGTAATTCTAAATGCTTATTAAATTGATAGATTATGATTAATTGTGTATTCTCTTTTGCCAGATGCTAGAATGGAAGAGTTTGTCTATGAGAAACTAGACCGCAAAGCACCAAGTCGTGTGAATAACCCAGAATTGCTGGGCCAGCACATGATTGATGCTGGAAATGAATTTGGTCCAGGAACAGCATATGGTAAGTCACAACTGTTGGTTCCTATGGATACAGGGGCCTAGGATTGTCTTGACTTGAAACTTGAATAAAATGGGCTTGATTTACTTAGTAATATGTGATATAATATTGTAGCCTTGATTAACTAGTCAGTAGGGGTTTTTTTTGTAGGTCATATATCCTGGATGCTGTACAAATGGTTTGTAACTCATATCCTGAGGCTGTATGTGGGAGTTTGAGAACCTAGGAATGTTTTGAGGAATATAATGTAATATTGAAGTAAATTTGTTAGCACACTGTGAAAACAACAACACTTGATAAGAACTACTGTAGTTCTCAGATACAAATACCCATAGAGATTTCATGAAATCATTAGCTTTCAGTTTTAAAGTTGTAAATATGTGAGCATCCTTGGGCCCTGTATATTTGGATATTAATTAGCTATCTAACTAGCCAATTAATCAAAATGAACTGCTGAAACCATTTACTGTGCAGTTTAACAAGTATCTGCTCAGACGTAAGTATGATTGCATTTAATAAGAATGAGTCCATGGTAAAATCTATATGGGGTTGCAACTCTCATCTTTTTCTGCTTCAGGAAATGCTCTCATTAAATGTGGAGAAACACAGAAACGAATTGGAGCAGCAGACAGAGAACTAATTCAGACGGCTGCAATAAACTTTCTCACCCCTCTAAGAAATTTTATAGAAGGAGATTACAAAACAATTACTGTAAGTTGCAAATATTCTTTCTTAGCTTACATTTGAATTGGTTCTAAGAACACAATTACTATATATGCTGTATCGTTTTTTTTATAAACTGTGTTAATAACATCTTGCCCTATAATCCAGTTTGGAAGTAGATTAAAACAAATTGGTTGTGTTATACCATGCCTACACAAATACCCCAGGTACCAGGTTGAGGCTGTGACAGTGGCCATAGTAACCACTGATTTCGACTCAAATTGTACCCAGGAATTACAGTATCTGCAGCTAGACAGCACAGAGATAGTGTGTGTGTTTCTTAACCGGTCCACTAAGATGTGTTGATTCACTTATCCATGTCTGTTGGGCACAACATATCAGAACAAAGGGGTGGAAAGCAAGAGTTCCTATGAGAATAATGTGGTTTACTCTTCAGGGAGGATGCATTTTGGTGCTTTTTAAAGTGCTTTAGCACTAGCAGTGTCCTGACAAGTGCTCTGCATTGCCCAATCCCAGTTTTGAGAAGTACTTGGGATATACTATGGTCGTCTGCAGCTCATTATATGACTTATTCTGGACTTTCTGGTGATTTTTTTTAACATGCTGTTTCTGGTTTGATGCGCTCCTCAGTGTGTATTGGTGCACAATGTCCAGTTTTGTGGACATCTCGCCCTCGAGACAGCTTCAAACTGCATTATATCGTCTGCGTGAAAGACCTCTAAGTCTTTATACATTATGTAATTGGGATGCGGAAAGACAGGAAGGGCCCATGGCTTGTGGTTTATTTTATCTGAAAGAGAACTGATGTTTTTCCCATGCTGCTTTCGCAAGTGGTAATTTTTCATTTGTTTAACAGAGAGAACGCAAACTATTACAAAACAAACGACTAGATTTGGATGCTGCCAAAACTAGACTGAGAAAGGCAAAGGTAGCAGAAGCTCGAGCTGCAGTAAGTAAGATCTCTCACCATTCAGAATATATTATATTATGTTGAATTTTTTAACACTGTCTTGGGCCCAGAGTTTGCTCCTGACAAAGGGAAATTGAGGGAATGACTTCAGCACCACCTTATTATCTTGGAAAAATATGCTCTGGTGGGTTAGGGAGATTTTTTTGGCTGCATTTTCAAAGGACATGTGGTGAAATAACAGGGAAGAGTTGACAGAAACCACTTCCCTATTCTGGCAGTAGAATCCTTTCGCTTGGAAGCAAACATCATTGTGCAAAATCTAGATGACTCCCAAAAGTTATTTGGGAAGAGCATCTGGTGAACAGGTTGCTGGAGGAAAGACCTTAAAGATATAAGTTTGTGGCTTACTGGGAAGACTAAAGAAGTGGACAATCACTGAACGAGGATGCTGTGCTAAAATGTAATCCTGAACTGCTCTATCTGAAGAAGGTTTAACTTTATTTATTTATTTACCATATTTCTACCCTTCCTTTCTCAAACTTGAAGGTGACTCAAGGCGATATACCAGTGATATACCAATGGGTATTATAATTATTATAGTTATAGATAATATACTACATATAAATCAAAATGTTAGTCTATATGTTAAATAGTTCCATCGAATGGAGTCCTATACATAAGCATGCAATTAACTTTGTTAACAATTTTGTGCATATTTATTCATTTATCTAAATGAAGAATAATTCTCACTTTTAAAATCTTTTTCTGCTGGTCACCTAGAAACCGTTCTTACTTATCATAATAAAACAGGTATAACTGTGTATGCTTTAATCATTGCAAAACGACAATTGTTTAGTTGATGAATAGATGTCAAAGGAATTAAATCTACATAAGCAGGGATTCAAATTTGCTGTTCACTGGCAGGCACATCTTGCATTGTACTGATTTTTTTTCTTATTTCATTGTATTTTAAGAATACAGTATTATAGATGGTATTTTCATTCTTGAATCAGTATATATAAAATCTAAAATGCAATTTTAAAATAACCTAAAATGTTGGCAAGGATAACTTTTCCAGCAAAAGAAAATATACAGTTGAATAAAACTTTAACGTAGCATTAAAGAGAGTGCAATATTAGCACAGATGTACTTCCTTCAGGAGAAGTTGCCAAAGTTAGGCTGCTGGTACATTCTACAATAGTTGAATCTTTTGGTCTTTTTGTAAGAGGTGCACATAGAATACATTATAGTATCCCAATCTGAACATTTGGGTCACTGTGGGCAAGCTATTCATATCCAAAGAAGACTGTAGCTGATGAAACAGCTGAAACAGTTGAAAGGTGATCTGAACCATTGAAGACACTTAAATATATTATCCCTCATTGGCCCTTTTGCCAAGCCCTGAGGTTAGCCAGTACCTCCACAGTCTCATCTAATCGATTATACACACACACACACCTACTTAAGTGATCCCTCATTGTCTGAGTATGATGGCTTTCCAAGTGCATTGTCTTGGTAGTGGATACGCAGGTGACTGTGGAACCCTGTTCTTGACCCGCATGTTCTCCCTCAGTGAGGACATTGGTTTCCAGGTGGAAGGCGGTCCTGGTCAGGGTTGGCTTGACATGCCTTCCTCTTGGTACGTTTCTCCATTTCGTCCTCCATTTGTGCCTTTTCAAATTCCACAGCATTGCTATATATATTACAGAACATTTCTGGTTAAATTCTTGGGTTTATGTGAGATTATAGAAAAAGAAGACTCACCTTCATGTTACATTAACAGCCAGTAAGGAGCAGGTAGCCATACTGTTTTCCAAATAGCTCTGGACAAGGGTCATAGTCACACATCTGAAAATTGTACTGAAATTCAAAATGAGAATGATCTCAGAAATGATCTTTTGTCTTGTATGTGGGGATGGAGAGGTCATGGTGAACATGATTTTGAACTTATTACCAGACTGGCCAAAATGTATCAATCCTTTAACATAAATCCAGCAAATAACTATGAATTGTTAGCATTTTAGGCTCCATGCTACAACTGAGTGGTATCTTGCTTATTGGTTGATATTCCAAGAAAAATGACACACAGGTATTTTATTTTAATTTTTTGTTATTAGTAGTGTGAGGCATAGCTCAGGAAATTAGGCCAGTGATCAGTGGCAAAGGTCAGGGAATTGGATACATCAGTGGATCATTCCAAGTTGAAATTACAATGATTTTATAGTAGAAATCAAATTACTTAATATGTGTCAGACACCTTTAAATGTTCTGGAAATCCATGTTCTCAGATGTGTTAACAAAATAATGAGAAACAGTTTGTTCTTCTACTAAAGCAAGCAATTAAAGCAGCAAGAGTCCACTCAGATAGACAAATAACTCAAAATCGTTCTCAGTAGTAAACATTTACATTAGCATTTATTGACAGTGTGAAAAAGTAGCATGTTTACTTGGCACCATAAAGATTACAGCACCCAAGTAGTTCTTGCTAAGGAGGGCCCTCCAAAAGGCACAGAACCATGAGTGAAAAGCCTCTTTGTCTCTGGTTGTAACCTACTATACTTCAGTCACATCCAGGGAAATGTATCAACTAATAGCTTCAAAAGAATGATGTATGAAAATATGATAATATGGATATGAAGCAAATGGGAAGAAACATACATAAGCACATCTGCTTGAAGAGTGTGCATCTTATGTCTCTGATTCTGTCCACTGATGCTGAAATAGAGTTTTGAGGATTAACCTTGACTATTGTTAATTTTTTTACAATATAACTTATTCTTGTTTTTGTGCATTTGAAGCAACTAAACCTCTCACCACCTGAGGAAAATAACATTATGGTAAATGTCTCTTACATGCTCAACTTGCTGCATGTAAAATGGCTGCAGGTTTGTTGGCCTCTTGTCTTCATTACATTTCTTCAAGTGGTTCCTCTTGCTTTCCTGCTGATATATATGGGTCATTCAGATGCCTTGAAAGAAGGATTGTATCAATACTTAGTGTTGTGTTTTTATTTTCTCCTGTATTTTAAGGATATAAATACCTTCAAACTAGAATCTCAGATTATAAATGTCTGTTGTTTTATTACATGCATATCTAGCTCTTCTTCCAAGGATGTCTGGGCTCAATATAAAAGTGTTCAGCAAATCAGGACAAATATGGAGTAATCTCCAAATATAGAATCCATACCCACAGTTTATCTAATTCAGTTGATTCTAGCAAACACACATGTTGTCTTGGTGTGCCTGCCGAGGACTGATTGTGTGGCTCCATTTGTAATCAGAACCATTTAGAAGTATTGTGGGCATGGTAGGATGTTCCTGTATCTACTAGATCTGTTGACAGAATAAACAAGTTAATGTTGATTCAAGTTGTACTTTGCTCCATAATTGTCTCAAATGATTTACAAGAAATATATCCCCTCTTTACTTTGGCATTTCTTTCTTTGTAAGAACCCAGCAAGGTTTCCCTTGAGACAAAGCAATTAGAAACCTGTAAAACAGGGTTATGTTTGCTTTCCTGCTAAGTGGAATTGTGTAGTCATATCAGAATACACTGGAATCTTATAGAAAACAGTAGCACTTACAAACTGGCCATTAGTCCAAGGGTGGAAACATGCACCCCTCAATAGGTTTTTGAACTGTTACAACCATCACTCCACATTGACTGTTCTAGTTAAAGATAGTACAAGTTTAGTTTAACACCATCATGCTTTAAACCCTGAAAGGACCCTTCCAGTCAGGCCCCAAAATGTGGGACCTCTCGGACCTTTGCCAGAAGTGTCCAAACAACGCGTCCAGTAAAAGCTAATTAATTCAGAACAACTTACGCCAAAGTGAGATTTTTAAACCCGCTTCATTGTGGGTTTTTCCCCTGTCTGGGAGCATCCAAAGCCTATGACATTGAGCTAAACCAATCCTGCTAAGAGTATAGAGCAGTTGAAATGTATGGAATTTGTTAGTCACAACATGGGCTTGGTATATTAGGGCTAAAGTTGGGTTTCGCTCATAAGAAGCCTGTTCCTCTACTATTCTAATAGTGTCTACAAAGTAGTAAAATGTATTCCATAACAATTGATTTGATAGCAAGAGAAATCGCTTTTCACAATCATCTATGTTGTTTTTAGTAGATTTGGCTTGTATAGACATTAGTTGACTACATCTCATCCATACATTAATTCATAATGGAGTAAACTGTGATTTTACTAGTTTCTTTGTGCTGTCCTTGTGTGTTTGTAGACTTCTTCACAAATAATCTGTTTGAACCTGAGTCACACTTAAATTAATGCACTGAAAGATCTCTTGGGTACGATATTGTTTACAGAAAATCAAGTAAATGTAACTTTATACGTTTGTGTCAGTGTCTGTTCTTGCACATGGACTTGATGAAAATGGTTTCTGCTAGATTGTCAGTCCTTCAATTTGCAGAAAGACTGCTGTGTATCTAGTATATTTAATTCCTGTTTTTAGATCATTATTGTTAGAAATTATTATTTTCTAACAAGTGGCAGCTTGGAACAGGAGACAACTAACAATGCCCACTTCTCATTTTAGTCAGTTTCTTCAGAGACTAGCAGATGATGTTGTTGTGGGGGGGGGGGGGGGGAAGCAAAAGCATCCTTTTTCCAGCTTTAGTCTTTTCCAAAAGACTACATTACTTCTGTTGTTAAATAAAGTAATACTCTTAGAACAGTGGTTCTCAACCTGTGGGTCCCCAGGTGTTTTGGCTTACAGCTCCCAGAAATCCCAGCCAGTTTACCAACTGTTAGGATTTCTGGGAGTTGACAGCCAAAACTTCTGGGGACTCGAGTCTTAGAAGATAAGAGTGTATCAAATTGTGTTATACATCTCAGATCTTGCTTTTGCCACATGTGGACAACCTATTTTTATCCTTGTGCATGTATCAGATCAAGACTTGCAATTCTGCTTGAGCAAGCAGTCATATATTTCAGTGTTATTAAGCTAAGTGCTCAGTGTTTTTTGTCCACTCGTGTTTGAACAACTATTAGGACAGCATCACTTCTTGTAATCTTTTACCAGCCTTATTTTAGAACTACCTCGTGTGCCAGGGCATTGCATTGTAATACTCTATAGTTTGTGGCAGTATTCGTTAGAAAACACCCTCTCTTAGATAGGCAATCTTGTAGACATCAGATCTTTTGTCATACACTTGTCTTAATTCTTGGCCATTGGCCAGGCGGGCTGTCCTACTTTGACTAGTGCAGAAGCAAAGCTGCAGCTCTTCTTGATATCATACACAATAAAAAAACCTGTAAATAGAATTAGCAAGAAAATTTATGTTGAAGACCGCCAATAAATAGTTTGTCTGGTTTCTTCATGCTACTGTTTTTCCACCTCTTTATGCGTACAAGGTTTGGGCAGAAGAAGTGACAAAAGTAAGTAGTCCATAACTGAAAGTTAATAAGCTGTTGGCTACAAAACTGTGTTATGTTGAGATGAGATTAAAGTAATGTTCAGATGAATACTTAATGCTAAACCTGTCAATTGCCTTGTTCACCTACATTTTAATGTTCATTTGCAGAACTTTGAAATTACGACTACTCTGAATATCACCTTATTAAATTTTAATGTATAATCAGGTTAGGAGTGTTTAACCAACATGTTCAGAATAAAGAAGAGTTTTCATTTTAATCAGGGGTTAAAATAAATCTATATAAAAGACTACTAATTTTCATGCATTTTTGTATTTGAAAAGACTCTATCCAGTTTAAATAAAACTGTACAAAAATACTGTGTCTAGTATTGGTAAAGCACTTTAGTAGAAGCTGTACTTGTTGCCAGTAAATCCCATTGAAATAATGGAACGGAAATCCATTGTTAAAAAAAGCTGGATTGATTTTCAGTGTCATTTACTATGTTTTTCCCAGCAGTATAATTATTCTTTGGTATCATTTTTCCGTTAAATGTCGTAATATGCCTTTCAGTCTGAACAGGAAGTCAGGATAGCCCAGAGTGAGTTTGATCGGCAAGCAGAAATTACAAGACTTCTCTTGGAAGGTATCAGCAGTACACATGTAAGTACAGAGTAGAAGATCCATAATTGTTTATCTACATTGATGAAATACTCTAGTTTCTCCTGCAGTATTTTTCACCACTTAACTTACTAAAATTAAAACTCCTAATAGAAATTGTATTTAGTTGTTATATAATGCTTTGTATTAAAATTATTGTGGACAGGAAAATGAAAAAGTAATTACAAGCACCATAACAAATATGCTTCCTGTCTAAAGAGAGGGTAGATGGTTTGTAGATAGCAACTCTCATCATGCCTTGGTCTTGGCTATGCTAATCTTTCCTAATGAAAGCTGCAGCACACACCCAGAATATCAGTAGTTGTCTTGATTTAAAATTTCTCATAGGGGTTACACATGAAGAAATGAAGATGACTTTGCTTCTCTCTACCATTCATAAGCATCTGACAAACTATACTTCAGGAAATTAAAGGCACACGATGAAAGCTTTTAAAGTTGCTAACTCTCCCTCTAAAACACAATCCAGATCGCCTCTGGCTCAAGTTCAACTATGTCAATGTGTTTTACTAATCATACTATCTGAAAGAGTTACTGAATTGGGCTATTTTGCTTGGCCTGCTATAGATGAGCTTTAAAACATAATTCCCTGAAATGCTTCTGAATCAAGGTCAAATGTGGAATGTGCTTGGAACATCTCCATATCTAGAAAAGTCTAGTTAATGCAACACTGTAGTCTTTTCTGTACTAAGTTTAAATTCTTCTGCATTGCAGGCACATCACCTTCGCTGTTTAAATGATTTTGTAGAAGCTCAAATGACCTATTATGCACAGTGTTACCAGTATATGTTGGATCTTCAGAAACAACTTGGAAGGTAACACAGCTCTATTTCTATAGCCACTTGCCTAAACTTTGGAGGATTAAAACATGAAAGATATTAATCTACTCAACATTAATTATATTAAGTTATGTGAGATGAATTTAACCCAAAATATTGCTAAACTCAGAAATGAATTAAAGCAGCCTTGTCTTTATATTCCTGCTTCTGTGACTTTTCAGACATCTGTGGAAACTTTCTGATAAAAACACAATATTAGTACAACCTTCATAACATAGGAATAGGCAGACAGATAGGGATAAAGTACTATGGGTTTGATTCATGAGCAAGTTCTCCTTAAAGCTGCTTAGCTTGTCATGGTACATATTGCTTCATATGAACTAAACTTTCAAAGGAATGAATCCTTCACAGTAATGAAACATGGCAATCTGCTTTCCTGGAAGAGAGAGTTCTGTACATTTCCTGTGATACAGAACAACTGTCCAGCTGAGTGGTATTTCTTCATGTTGGCAAACAGTTGTCACATTCATTAAAAACCAGTCCCATGGGCAGCTGCATCTTAACATTTGGCTTGCTAATAGAAGAACTTGGCTTGATTTGAGAATATTTCTATGCTTGCCAAAGTATCACAGCAGCTTACTAGTGCAGAAACCTGCTCTAGAGAAATCAAATAGGTTTCAAAAAACAGTGTGTGTTAAATGGAAGAAGAGGACAACTTATTGTAGAAAGCCAATAAAGCAGGAATTAAATAGAAAAAAAATCAATGAATTTGCAGGCACTTTTTTTGAGCAGATACTAAAGGACACTTAATCTTAGCTTTGTCAATATATCTGATCAAAACTCATAAATCTTCTTTATGTTAAGAATTTATTTCTCAGCATTCCTTTGGAACTAGGCTCAGTGGTGTTAATGGACTGTTTGCCCGAAAATGCCTTGAGAATTAACTGTAATTATTTCATTTTTTTTAAAAAAAAATCTAGATCTTGGAACTGACAGGTTTTCACTGTACGAATGTATTGTCTTAAAGAACTATAAGATTATTAAGGAGAAGTTGTATTTTCTTAAATAAGCCGCCCTTAATCCTCCTTTGGAGGTAGAGAAGGGCGGGGTATAAATATTTGAAATAAATAAATAAATAAGGAATGGGGATAATGGAGACCTACTGTTGGGATTGACACCAAACCCCCAGCAGCCTGAGGTACTTTGGTCAATGGTGAGGAATGCTGGGAGATGCAGTTTGGCACTTTAAAATCTGCATTATTCTTGACTTAGACACTGAAACTGGATGCAAGTGGCATTGGAGAACTCGTTGAATGCCACAAACCTTCCTGTCCTCTGCCTACAGAGTTTTTAAGATGTATTACACTGACCAACACACATTTCAGTGCCTCAAATGTTAGGCCTGTTTCAGGATAGATTTAACCCTCTGATTCCAGTTTTCCTCTATCAGCTCTAGTTTGTGAGATACAGAATATATGCCATATACCAGTCTTCATCTGTTTGCCCATAAAAAACATGATAATCATATCTAAGAAACTAGAGCTGGTGAGTTCTATCCAATTCAATTTTCTGAATCAGTGCCCTAAATAACCCCAGGAACAGGCCTAAAAACCAAGACACCAAGAAATGTATTTTTGGTTGGACTATTATCCTTGGTTCAAGGGGAGAATGAGTTTTGGTTTACCTTCATGTCAACACAGACACCTAATATACACAACACATGCCACCTGCTGCTTTGCCAGCACTCTCTTACACTCGCTTTACAAGACACCACGTGTTTTCTTTATTCTGTTTCTCAAGCATATTTAGAATCAGGATTTTCATTTCCCCAAGTAGTCTATAGGTGATCACATGAAGAAAACTGAATGTCAGATATGGTCTGCCAGATCTGAAAATCTTCAACCTGTGTTCTGCCAAAACTGAAAGAAGCAAAAGTGCTACTGACCAGTGAGGGTGGACAGATAGAAGAAAAGAGAACACAAAGGTTGGCAGTCAAAAGAGGGAAAAGAGAGAACAGAGCAAAAAAAGAGGGATAAGGAGGAAAGCAATAATGGAAAAAAGAACAGGGAGCATCTTGGAGAGTGGGACATGGGTAGGTAGTGATTTGTTTCAATTTCAGCAAGAGTAAGCCTTAAAATTGCCAACATTTAACACAGTTGCTTTTGTGATTTTAACAGGATGTGGTGTTTATGTTAATTTAAAAAATCAGCCAATTTTTACAATGGATTATAAGCGAAGGCTCTCCTTAATACAAAGATTGAAGCTATGTTTTCAGGCTTCTGTCAAAGTCTTAGGAATACCTCACCTTTCCCCCAAGTGCTGGCAACTCCTTAACTTTAAATAAGTGACCTGAGGCACAGATAGTGGAGAAGAAAGAGAGATCTTTCCCATCCCTGTCTCCTGGACCTTTTAACTGTAGGTGCACAAAAATGGCTGGGAGTTTGTCATTTATCTGTACAGTGAGCCTTTGGTATCCATTGAGTTTGGTTCCAGTCCCCATCCACTGTCTGTGGATAACAAAATATGTGGGTGCTCATGATAGTCCCATATGTAACAAAGCAAATTCAAAGTTTACTTTTTAGATTTTTTTAAACATCCAGCTGTGGATGATTGTGTCCATGGTTACAGAATCTGTGGATACAGAGAGCTGGCTGTATAGCTGAATCTTGTTTTGTTTTTTTAAAATCTTTCATTATATATTTTGGGAAAGGGGATGAGAATAATCACCCCATTGAAAAATTCTGCCCAAGCAAAGAGGGTAATGTTGGTAGGATAGAACATCACACTTTCTGCCTGCCTAGGGAGAAAAGGTTGGGGAGGCATATATCTAAATGATCAGAAAAGAAAGACAGTGCAAATTAAATCTCTACTGTAAAGTCTTTTTTGCAAACCATAATTTCTAGGTATTTTGGCCTATATCCAAGATTTAGATATACTTATGTTTGTATGTGCAAAAGTGGAATATGGTATAGAAGAATTGAAGGCTGAAATCTCCTCTGCTTCTCTGGCACCCCAATTACCCCTCTTGGGGATTGGAAAACCATCTGGAACAGGGAACAAGTGGTGTTCCTGGTTCCTGATGATACTACCTCTGATACTACTGTAAGACTGGTGGTAGATAGTTTGTCAAGTTTAGTTGCTTATATTGTCATAAAGAGTCACACTGGAAGATAAGGAAGAGCTACCATTAATCCTCCAAGTCCTGCTTTAGATCAGAGGAGAAAAGGCATAGCAAATGGCTAATATAAGTATGGATCATAATTAGATAGATCAATGCAACATTAGCATTTCCTCATGGCAATAAAGTTGATTTGTTCCACAGCTTTCCATCCACATTCCTCGCCAACAACAACCAGTCGACTTCAACCTGTGTTCCCAGTAGTTCTAATACAACTACAGCTGCATCCTCTGTCTCTGTCACAGCCTCCCTGTCTTCACTAAGCAATGTAGCAGTTCCTTCAGGCTTTGGTGAACTGAAGTCATCAAGTGGTAGCAGGAAAGCCCGAGTTCTTTATGACTATGATGCTGCAAACAGCACTGAATTATCCCTTCTTGCCGATGAGGTACGTGTTTCTTGCCTTAGCTCATTCATAAAAGTGAAATAAAATTATCTTTAGAGCTACAGTGCACAACCAGAGGACAACTTGTCCTCTAGCCTGACATCATCGTAATCAAAGGCTATGAACATAAGTAGCCATTTGTTGCAATTTTGTGTCCTTGTACCAGCAGTTGAATCCATATTAATCATGAAAGAAAGCTTGCTTATGTGGGGCTTGTGATATTACAAAGTCATGGGCTCCTTTTATGTTTATCACATGATTGCAGCATTGCTTTGATGTTCTAGTCACTACTGATATTTCATGCAAATTTCCCATGGGCATCAGAGTAATTTATAAAACAGCTCATTTCTTTCTTTCTTTCTTTCTTTTTGTGAAGCTAGGAGGGCAAATATTTTAAATGCACACTGCTTGTACTAGTGAAAACTGTGACATGTGTCATCATTTTGGTTTTCATTGAATATATCTCACATTTAGACCAGGACACTAGCATGCTCTCCACTCCCCACCGTCTCCCAGAGCACCCTAATAGTTTAGGCTAGTATTTGCATGAGCAGGGAAGAGAATTCAGATGAACAGATTGGTACGTATCTTTATGAATAACCAGTATGTTTTGTTTTTGTTTCTAGGTAATAACAGTGTACAGTATCCCTGGTATGGATTCAGATTGGTTGATGGGTGAACGAGGAAATCAGAAGGGCAAAGTGCCTATTACTTACTTAGAACTGTTAAACTGAATAGCTGGCATTTATAAAGACTGCCAGTGATGGTGAGACCATATTTATATGCAATTAACTTTATATAAAGCAGGTTTAAGTGTCTTCCATGTTAATGTCTTAATGAATGAGAGTATCTGCCATTCGGAGTGGGCTTTTTGGTCCAGTATTGAATGGTAGTGCTCTCTTCAGATGTAAGTTTAAATGCTTTTACTTTGTGTGCCAAGATTGTTTCCTACAGAACTTTGTTTCTACTGGAATTTTCACTAACAACAAACTTGTACTTTTGAGTAATCTAAACCTGAAAACAGGAGAAATTGTTTCTACAGAACTTTTCATAATGCAGGCTTCTTCACAAACAATAAATTGTTAAACCGTGGCAGTATTCTTTTTCTTTGCTGAACATATTTTTATGTTTAATATCTTAAAAGGGCTAAAGTTTCTAAAGTTACAAATATTAATTCTGAAGGGAAAAGTAGCACTTCTCCCATTTTGTTGTTTTTGAATTCGTTTTTTTGTCCAGTGTCTCTTAATCTGACCCTAAATATGTCCAATAAGCATTGCTCTGGATAGCTTGCAAAACTATACTCTCTCTTTTTACAACGTAATTGTGGATTAGAATGTAAGTTAGCACACCAGAGCTCATGTTGAGCTTTCTTTTTCTAACTGTCATAGCTGAAAATATCTTAATCACAAATCGTGCTTTAGAGAACAGTGAAGTCAAGAAATGTGCATTGAAGTCGAGAAACAGAGTTGAAAATAATTTCTAGTTATATGAAAAAATCCATTATGCTTGATCCTAGGGAGCAAGAGCAAACATCTGCTCACGAACAGACTAGCAAAAGGACAGGGAGAATTTAGTTCTGCTTATTAAATTGCATGCTTTTGAAAGAAGATGGACACATTTTCCGAACGTCTGTCATCACTCTTTGTGACCAGAACATGTTGTGTCACATTTTGGGAGCATTTTCTTCTTGTCTAGGCCATAATATTCACAATTCTTTGCTGTTAGTTCTTATTCGGAAAGCACTGAGTAATCAACTAGTTGGCATTCATATTGGCTTTTTAATATTGCTTAATGTGCATACTGTCAGAAGTTGAATCATGTTGGTAGTTTCAGCTGGAATAGGCTTGCTGGGTGAATTATTGCATGGTTAATCAGGTGACATGCCTTTATTTGGTTGCTCTTTAATTAAAACTGCTAGAAAGATTCAGGACATAGTATCTGTTAATACCTATGCTTTGAATATTTGGTACCATGGGTGTGCTGAAACAAGCACCGAGACTTTGGAAGAAAGTGCATGAAAAAAGTACACAATGAATCAAATACAAACCTCATTTTCATTTCCACGAGTGACCTGCATTCCTCTCCAGCTACTGCCCTTCATCTATATGGCTGTAATAATGTAATAAAACAAATGTACTTAACACATAGGTGTGGAGGAGAGACTACTTACAATCTGATATATCATTTTGGACCAGTTATAGATAGAAAGATCCATATACAAGAAAGGGGATTACAGTTCATTTGTAATCTACCCATAAATCTTTGCCATTCAAAATGTGGGGAATTCCAAATATTCTACTCATATGAAATGGTGATAAGAAGAAGGGGAGAAGAGGACTGTGCCTGATCTTCTTATCAGTTTCATTGCTATGCTTTGAGGAAAGGAAGTGGCAGAACTGTAGTAATGGAATGCACCCTGTACAGTGCAGATCCAAACTGAAATGCAGAACCCAACACATCTTTGGCATACTTTATGCAGGAAACAGCAGAAGCCCATGACTTTCCCACTTTTCATTATTGTGCTGAATTCTATACAATATTGGATATTAACAACTAAACAGTTCTTTTGATCTCACCTATTTGTCTTGCTTGCAGAAAGAGAGTTTACATCACAATTTCAAACCATGTTGCACTTTCAGGTTCTATCTTTCCTATGGTTACTAAATCCGGAAATAAGAGCTCACACCAGAGTTTCTTTTAAAGATTTATTTCTGGCTTCACGTGTGAAGCCATCTCTTTAAAGTTTGACAAAATGAGGGAATATATCTATACTTTAAGGCAGGAGTATGTTATGACTTGTTCAATTCATTTTGATAACAAAACTCTGCAGAATTAAAAATTCAAAGACAACAACCCATTCTATATCTGTCTGTTTCCATGTGAACTTTTTATTAGATGTGTGTGTAATAATGTGAAGACTAAAGCATAAATTATAGAAGTGCCATGGACACTTTTAGTGCCAGTTTTATTACTGTATACTGAAGTAAGGAAAGTAATATAGACTTGTTGTTTGCCTCCATGCTTGAAAGTATTTCTAAGGAAACATCAAATCAGAAGTATCATCTTACATTTGATTTCTTTCTCTTTGAATTATTTCATTTAAAGTTTTTTTAGTAAATTAATAGCTCACTTGTCTGGACACCAATGGATCCAATAAATGCATTGCCACACTTGCTCAGTTTCTTGAGATGGTACATGTCTGTTACTTTTGTTCAAACATTATTGTTTCATGTCATCTCAATCATAAGTGGGCTATTTCTACTTTATCATGGCTGTTTCCCCATTTCTGTTACATTTCTTATGAGGCATATGTAATACAATGTCATGATTGATTGCACATGACAAAGTAAGAAATGTATCTGGTGAACTTTGGTCCACCACCATTGCATCTCTGCTCCCAACTGTTGTGGGCTCATTCATATTATTCATCTGGGACAGGGATTATCAACATCTAAATGTTCTCCAGATGATTTGGACTTCAGCTCCCAGAATCTCTTACTATAGTTGACTATGGTAAGGGATTCTGAAAACTGAAATCCAAAGCTGAAGGACCAGAAGGTTGAACCACTGATCTAGGATATCTTAATCTCAAATCAAAAGGAATTATGGTGGTCTCCTACATTCACAATAGAAATTCCTAGGACACTTTCCTCTATATTGGAAGAAACTAGCTGCTATCAGATACTGACAGGACTTCAATATAATGGTATTTCTTATCCAAACAGGATGGAGACGAGTCCTGATGAAACTAAATTGTCCATGTGCAAACATTTAGATGACTGTAAAGATGCCTTTGAGTCACTCTCACTAAACACAGAATTCAGTTTTTCAAATAAAATGTAAAATTGAGAGTTTAAACACTGTCCCTAAAATGCCATAAAACAGTGGTTTTTAACCTGTGGGCCACAGATCACCAATGGGCTATGAGGATGAAAATCTGCTCTGTGAGCCTCCTTCCTCTTTTATTTTATTTTATTTCCGCTCCTTCCATGCCACCTGCCACTCCTTCTTTGTCGTTGACCATGGCATATGTTCTGTATCAGAAACAAGAGCTGATGTGGTCTATCCAATACAATTTTCTGAATTGGCACCCCAAACCAAATCTAAAGTTGACCAAAAACTGGTTCATTACCCCAGTCAAAGTGGTCCCTGATAAACTGGTCCCTGATCAAAAAAAGGTTGGGAACCACTGCCATAAAATGACATGACCAAACAGGACTTTACTGTGCTGTTGAATATGATGCTGTGGCAGAAAATCGGAAATGGAGGCAAGCCCGATTTGTAAAAGGAAATCCAGCATCATATAGGAAGGTAGCTGTGATAATCTTGCTACTGAATACCAATGTATTTAGCCTTAGCTAGGTAAATAAATAATAATGGGAAGTGAGATTAGAGTCTAGTATATATTTGTTTTTCTATATGAATATGAACTGGCTACTCTCCTGAAGAAGACATTAAGAGATATACTTGTGACATTGTCTCACAACAGAGAGAATGTATTTTCATAGAATGCATATAAATAAGTCCAAGCTGAGAACTGTCTAGACTCCCAACAACGGAGAAGGCAAAGTTGGTGTTTCTTGTTTGTTTGTTTTTGCACAAAACAGAAAATGGAGGCTGAAGGAGAAACTTCAGCTACTATGACTTCAGTTAACACATCAAGTAAATCTGTAATTATTAAAATTGTTAGTGTCACAGACCTCACACTCCTTTTTTCACGTGTTTTTTCCCCATGATCACTGCCTCTTTCTGCTGTTTCATGGTGTGGACGCAAGGCAGTCTGTCTTCAACAATGGAGAGAGTTTGATAAATGTTACATCTGAGCTTTTGGGCATTGTGTGATAGGCATCTGATAAAAGAAAATGCAGAATTACTTTATGAATATTAAATCTTTTGCAAATAGTTTCCTGACATGTGTGACTGATGGAAAACATTAGTATGAGGAACAGGCAAAGAGTTAATAAACTTGAATGCTAAGGAGTTCCCTCCCTGATGGATCAGAATTGCTTTATAAATTTTTTAAAAATGTGAAGTGGGTGTATGACATGAGTAATTAACAGGATCTATTTAGAATTGCAAAATGGAATTAAAGCTTTCAAATGTCTTTACACAATTGTGGGCAGAAGCACAACTTTTAAAATTCAGAATAATGAGCTAGGAAATTACTACTTTGAATGAGAACTGTTCCTTGAAATGGGCTTTTTCTTCTGAATGTGTTGTGACTGCAACTGTAAAAACTCATGCTGTAGTTGGGCAATTGTGTTCATGGGGTAAATCCCTAGTAAGGGGGAAGGATTTGGGGACATTAAGTGTTTTTGAGTTTGTACCCAACATAGATGGGTACAAACAAGGCGGTGATCCAGCAAAGGATCACCGCCTTGTTGTGGCGCTGGAGCTTGAGCACCTCAATGATGTCATGAGCGAAACCGTGAAGGGCCACCCAAGACGGGACGGTCGTGGCAGAGAGGTCAGACCAAGCGTGATCCCTGGGGAAGGCAATGGCAAACCACTCCAGTATCCTTGCCAAGAAAACTAAATGGACCAGTACAACCAGAGATATGTCGGTATGCCATTGGAAGATGGGACTCCCAGGTCGGAAGATGGCCAAAATGCTACTGGGGAGGAGCAGAGGATAAGTTCAACTAGCCCCAGATGTGATGACGCAGCTAGCTCAAAGCCGAAAGGAAGGCTAGCGGCCGACGGTACTGGAGGTGAACGACGAATCCGATGGTCTAAAGATCAACACACCATAGGAACCTGGAATGTAAGATCTATGAGCCAGGGCAAATTGGATGTTGTTATTGGTGAGATGTCAAGACTAAAGATAGACATTCTGGGGGTCAGCGAACTGAAATGGACTGGAATGGGCCACTTCACATCAGATGACCACCAGATCTACTACTGCGGACAAGAGGAACATCGAAGAAATGGAGTAGCCTTCATAATTACTAAGAAAGTTGCTAAAGCAGTGCTTGGATACAATCCAAAAAATGACAGAATGATCTTAATTCAAGTGCAAGGAAAGCCATTTAACATCCCAGTGATCTGCAGCACCTACTGGATAGCCCAACCAAAGCTGCTGAAGAAGCAGA